TGATGTAGAAGAAAATAAATTTATGTGCATTTTAATTATGAAAATGTTGTATAGTACCTGAGAACATGGGATCTACACTAGTGGTTCTCAACTGGAATAACTAACTGCCTCCCAGRGAACATTTAGCAACATCTGGAGACATTTTTGGTTGGAAGGGGCAAGTTACTGACATCTGTTACGTAGAGGCCAGGGAAGCTGCTAAACGTTCTACAATGAATAAGACAGATTCCCAATAGTAAGAATTACCTTGCCCATAATGCCAACAGTGCTGAAGATGAGACACTGATTTAGAGCCGGCCTGTCTTGGCTTCAAGCTACTTATAATCTGGGTAGTGTTTGGCAAGTTACTTAACATCTTTGCGCTTACTGAGTGTCTTCACCAATAAAATTACAGTACTCACTTTATTGATTTTCTGTAAGAATAAAATAAATTAGCAATAAAGGAGCTAAGGAAAATGTCTAAAACAGGTATACACCAAATGTTTGGTTTTGTTATCATTATATGCATTGAAAAACGCTGAGAAGAAATACGCTAAAATTTTAGTAGTAGTTGTTTCTAGGTGACAAAGTGACAACAAATTTTTATTTTCATTATACTTTTATACTGCTCTATATTTTCCAAAGTTTTGAGTACGATATTTGTATTTGATATGAAAAAAATGTACTCTTTCTCAGTTTTGTTTTTTTGGTACTGGGAATTTGAACACAGGGTGCTTTGCCACTGAACTACATCTCTAGCACCCCCTCCCTTTTTAAAAAAATTTTTTTAGTTGTTGATAGACCTTTACTTTATTTATTTATATGAATTGATGAGAATCAAACCCAGTGCCTCACACATGCCAGGCAAGTGTGCAACTGCTGAGCCCCAGCCCCAGCCCTCAGCCCCAGCCCTTTCTAAGTTGCTTGCTGAGGCTGGCTTTGAATTTGCAATCCTCCTGCTTTAGCCTCCTGAGCTGCTAGGATTACAGGTATGCATCACCTTTCCCGGCTCTTTTTTTAATTTTTTTTTTTTCAGTGCTGGGGCTCAAATCCAGGGCCTCATACATGCTTGGTAAACACTCTAACACTGAACTATATACCCAGCCCTAAAAAAATTTTTTTTTTTTTTTTTTTTTGGTACCAGGGATTGAACTCAGGGGCAGTTGGCCACTAAGCCACATCTCTAGCCCTATTTTGTATTTTATTTAAAGACAGGGTCTTGGGCTGGGACTGTAGCTCAGTGGCAAAGCGCTTGCCTAGCATGTGTGAAGCACWKGGTTTGATCCTCAGCACCACATAAAAATTAACAAATAAAATGAAGGCATTCTATCCATCTACAACTATAACAAAAATTAAAAATAATAATAAAAAAATAAAGACAGGGTCTCACTGAGTTGCTTAGCACCTTGCTTTTGCTGAGGCTGGCTTTGAATAGTTGATCCTCCTCAGTCAGTCTCCCAAGCTGCTGGGATTACAGGCATGCGCCATTGTGCTAAAACATGTGTCCTTAAAAAAAAAAAAAAAAAGCAGAAGAAATAATTTTATTTGTGACCTAGTAGGTAGAACACAGACTAAAAGAACTAAATTTAGATCCTGGTTCTACTAGCTGTGTGATTTCAGGCAGGTTAGTTAACCTCTCTGAGCTTCAGCTTCCTCACCAGAAATCAGAGCCAATAATACATAGACAGAACCTATGAGCAGGAAATATGATAGACATCAAGTGCTGGGGAGAGTTTGTTGAATGAAAGGCTTCAGGAGATGTTCTTTTCAAGGGAAAATTACCCTACAAATAGGGGGAAAGATWCATCAGTGCAACTCCCCTTTTAAACTATCCTCTGTGAGAGGACAACTCCCATTTCATTCCATTTTTTTTGCCATGGCTCACAGAAGAGAAACTACACCCACCCCTTCTGGTCCTTTTCTCTACTCCCTCCTCTCCTGACATTTACACATTAGGAAGGGATTTGATTGTTCCACTGGCAGGGCCTGACTCATTTGGCAGGGTGTATCAGCCAGCAAGTTACTATCTCTGAAAGGCAGAACCTAGCCATCACTTTCTCACATCCTTCACCCGGCTCACCGCCCCCCTTATCTCCTCTTACACACCTYGCCTCCAAACCAAAGCACACTTGGCAAGGCCTCCTCAGGGAGAAGTCTCTCCACTTTTTTTTTCTCTCTCTCTCTCTCTCTCTTCTATCTTCTGGCCAGCTGGCTGAATAGGTTGCCCCCATTTAGATTCAAAAGGGTTGAGCAGGAAGCCCTAGTGTGCACTGGCCCTGCTCACTTGAGAGGTCCTGCATGTGTTCAGTGGGCACATGGCTCTTGCCCAGCTGGTCTGTGCTCCCATCAGGGCTGTTGCTTCTTATTATGTGCAGTACACTCAGTAGGCAACACTGGAGGTGAAGAGGATGAGTGGTCATACATCCACAYCCCGTGGGGCACTTGATGTCTGTCATGTTTAATCCTTACAGTAACCCTCTCTGATGTGCACTGTTAGCCCTGATTTCTGATTTCCAGTGAGGAAACTGAAGGTCAGAGAGATTCACTAACATGSCTAAAATACATACATCCTCTCCTTAAGGATTTAATTAAATGGGAAAAATAACAGAACAAAGGCTATTTTGGGTATGTTATCAGAAGGGTGACTATTTTTAAYCCTAGTTAGCTTGAATTCAAATCCTAAGCAAGCTTTTAGAATGTCCTGAGACAACACCTTCCATTCAGGTCCTATCTGCCATAGTTTGGGAAAGGTAGTGTGGTCCTAATCCATGCTGACATGCAGGATCCTAGAGAGAAGTCCTGAGTTCTGCCTTCTCTGGGCAGAAATCTGGGGACTGGAAGCCAGACTGCATTAAGAGAGGATGATATGCGGCAGGACCTCTCAAGATATTCACACTCAACCCAAGGTGAACTGTTTCAATGTTGGGAAATTGTGCCACGCAACACACATCAGAGGAAAATGGGACTTTGGGAGGGTGCCTCCATCTAAATACAATAAAAATTTAAGAACATCATTCTAAGTGCAAAAGTACAAATAAAAATTTCAGGAAGATAAGGATCCCCAGGACAAAATTTATGGACACATCTTGACCTCTAGTTTGCTGCTCCAGGGCCAAACTTCAAGCATAATTGAGACTATTGCCAAGTTCTTAACTATACATTTGCCCGTTCACTGTCCTTCCTATAAACATATGCAAATAGAATAGACATGATCACCAAACTGGCTGTAGTAGAACATTCTTCTTTCACAAGTTATACTGAAGCTTATCATACTTCAGGCTGCGCTACCATAGCATGAAAGTGTTACCTAAAAAAAAAAAGTCAATATCATAGGGGTCACAACCCTGAAGAGAAACACCTCACTCAGTGAAGAATTTCAYAAATTTAAGATTCCTGTGCCTTTTCATCCTCTTTGAATCTTAGATGTAGCAACTTTTGTAATTTTCCCATAGCTTATAAGAATGAGATTAGTCATCTGTTATTACCAAGGGCAAGAAGGAAATTTACAAAGACCAAAGGGAGAAAAAATTTTTTTAATGTCAGAAATCTCCAACATTAAGAAATTAACAAATTTCTTTTTTTTATCCTTAAAAATCTAAAATAATTTTTTTCCAAAGAGAGCTCCATCCCCTCAAAGTATGCAATTATTTTAAAGCAATAAATCCAGTGAGTTTGACATCATAGCTTATGTGCCTAATTCTGGAAGTTTTAATCTGTTTTAAGAACTAGGTAAGTGTTTTAAAGATAATATTCTTAGGCTGGGCTTGTTACTGTGTTCTGAGGATGAAAGACTGTTTCTAGGTTCAATTTTATAAAAATCAACCTTGATGTAATTTCAGATTTCTTTTTTTCCCCCCTCTTTAGACATCACTTGGTCACCATAGTAACATAGTGTTTTACTACCAGATATCTATACAACACAAGGGAAAGAACAGGCAATTACTTACTGGGTTATTTGGGGGCACAGAATGTGACTACTGAGGTAATTCAAGATGAAATATAAATTTCACTGGGGATCTGTTTTAGACAGGCAAAATGATTTAATCTTCTAGTAGCATCAGCTGAACAAAATTTGTAGCCAAATAGACTACTGACATCATTTGAGATAATACAAACAGGCAAGCAACATAGCTCAGTGGTTAAGAGCATAGGTTTGGCAGTCAAGTTTCTTGGACCCAAATTCTAGTTTTACTATTTACTAGCTGTGTGATCTTGCAAAAATTCCCTAACTATTCTGTGCCTCAGTTTCTTCATCTCTAAAATGTGTGCTGTAAAARTTAAATGATTGATTATGGTGTTTAGAATGGTACTTTGCCCATAGCAAGAAGTTTATAAGTATTTTTAAAAAAACAAAATAAAAATTAAATTTCCTAGCTTCAGTTCTTTATGCTGGGTAGAAATAATCAGATACCAAGATTTGCGTTCATGGCAGATAATTTAGCCTACAACTTTGGTAGATTCATTTGAGAACTTCCTCAGGGCTTTCTTGATAGTAATTCTATAAGGCATAGAATTCTGTCCTCAACCAGAGCTGGGAACAATCACAAGTGCTCCTGTATCAAGAACATCAGAAAGCAGATGATTGCACAGCACAAAGGAACAGCACGACTGCCCACTCAGGCTCCCTAAGCTACTGCCAATAACCTCTGGGAACATGGGCAGAGAATAAGCAGCTGAAAAGGGGATGAGACAGAATTTTATTGTAGTGACAACGAAATCTAGTTGGTTTTGACAATATTTTTTTCTTTCCAGGATTCAAGAGAAAAAATTATTTTCATCAATGAGTGCTTCGTTTTATTATAAATTACTATACACAATTTCCATCCAGGCACTTACTCTGGAGGATTATTCATTTTACAGAACTAGCTAAGCATCTTTTCTAGACACGTAACAAATCTAAAGCTCCTAAGGAGCATCTAAGCCAGGACAAAATCTCCAAATTCCCTGCAAAAAAAAGAGAAAATATTATGTCCTCTGAGCAAAATTTTTGCTGTGATAACCGAGCSATCTCTATTACATACCTTCATCCGGACTTGATTTTAGAGAAGGTCTCCTTGGGTCTTCTTGGTCAGGCACAGACCTTGCATAGGAGTTTGGAGAATGCCATAAACCACCAGGAAATCTTGGGGACACGCTCATATCTGTCCTCTGCCTTCCCCTTGGCTCACAGCCTGCTTCCTGGTAGGGAGACAAGATGACGCTGTGCTGGGTAGACTGTTAAACCATCTTCCCGCCCCCAGCCCCACTCTCTGGGCGCCCCTCCCTTCTCCTTTCCAAGGCTCTGGAATGTGTCACATGGGAAATGGATCATGTGGCTCAAGGGGAGAATGTGGCCATCTTCTCCTTCCCTTCCCCCACTTTTCCTTTCAGCTGCAGAAATCTCTGACCTGATTGGCTCCTACCAAAAATCTCCATATGAAAAGGGAAAGATTCAACTACCCAAACCTCCAGCTTTCTCTACTTTCTTTTTTTTTTTTTTTTCATCTGACAATTTCATCTTGAGCATGCAGAGCTGCTTGGTMTGGGAGGGAAATGATGCTTTCTCGCCAATCCTTCTTTTTCTCTATCATCATCAGTATCCTGACATGGCAAGGTGTTCCTTAACTCCCCTGAGGAGCCCCCTTAGCACAGCTGGGACAATCGAGTGTTCAGCACCACGGACAGCATTACAACCCATTCAGCACTTGTTAAAGTCATTTGTCCATTTCTCTCTCAGGTAAATAAAAATATTTCAAAATATTTCCCTGAGGTCTTCTATCTAAATATAAATTATACCATATATTTGGGATTCTGACTTCCTCTACTGTCAACTTACTTATAAACTTACCTTATAAACATAATTTATAAACATAATTTTTATTTCTTTAAACCCTACCCTTTAGATATGCTGTTTTTGTTTTCTTTCTTTTTCTTTTTGGAGAAGGATGGAGGGTGGATTTTCATAACCGTTTTACTATATGTCCATATCTCTATGCTTATGGGAAAAACCATAACAACAGAGGAATTCYTGGGTGTAAAAGCCCAGATATCTTTAGCCCCATCCCTAGGCCTCAAGCAAGGCTGAATAGAGGCAGGATGCAAGCCTGGCTTGAGCTGTTTTGTGTGGGTCTATCCTGCTTTGCTGACGTCCTGGTTGCCATGGTGCTAGGTAACTGCTGAAGGGGATGATTTCTTTCAAAACCAGTCACCATGGGACCCTGATGACTAAAGAAAGGAACAAGGAAAAGGCTGAATTGCTGAGAGGGCGTTCAATTAGTATTTTCAGAACCAAATTTACCTAATGGGACCTTTCCTTACTGAATTGTTGCTGACCCTAAATATTGAAAGGATTCTGGGAATCAGTATGAACACTGAAATGTTAACTCCTCCCATCCTCCCGTGTTGCTTCCATCTAGGTGCAACTGAATGAAAATGCCAGCCTTGTAGAATGATTGTGGAGTGTCATCATAGAGTGGTGGGAAGAACACAAGAGAGGTACTTCTCTTTAGGTTGGGACTTCTGACTTTTGGGGAGCCATTCATCTGAGTCCAAACAGTCTTAATTGACAGATACATTAGAATCAAACCTCCTAATTATTGATACTTGAAACAGTTTGCAAATGCTTTACAATTTTAGGAGAAAATGAAAAATAGTTTTGAATATAAATTGCTAAGWTATTTTAAATAAATATAAATTCAATAACTGGACAGCATTTGGATGACCCCAAATCAGGAATTTAAACTAGGTAAAAACTTGTTTCATAAGGTTGGCATATAACTAACTGCTTCTGAGATTACAAATAAAGGCAATTATGACTATTGATGTTTTGGAGGAGAAATGCTAACATACAATATGCATAAATGCAAACTTTGTTAAAAGAAAGGTGGCAGAGAGGAGCTGGAGTGTAATTTTAAGACCTTGACTCAACATCCATGGTTTAAGATATTGGTATTTCTTATTTTTATTTTAGAAGAGTCAAATTAATTCTAGTTTTTCTATATAAGACTCAAAGAAATTTAAGTCTTAATTCTGACACTTGCCACTTTCAGAAAATACACTTATCAAGAAAGCTGTATACACAGCCAGGCCTGGTGGCACACATCTGYAATCTCAGCTACTCAGGAGCCTAAGGCAGGAGAATTGATAGTTCAAGGCCAGCCTGGGCAATTTAGTGAAAGTTTGTTTCAAAATAAAGAATTAAAAGGGATGGGGCTTAATTCAGTGGTAGAACACTCCAGGTTCAATTCCTAGTACCACAAAAAAAAAAAAAAAAAAAAAAAAAAAAAAGAAGAAGAAAAGAAAGAAAGAAAGCTAGATACAAATGTTAAGAAATTCTTAGGGCAACCCCTACTGGGTCCCCTCTTGCCCTGCCTNGAAGAAGAAGAAGAAGAAAAGAAAGAAAGAAAGCTAGATACAAATGTTAAGAAATTCTTAGGGCAACCCCTACTGGGTCCCCTCTTGCCCTGCCTCTTTTCTTCTCACTTGAATAAATCCTACTCCTTAAAAAATAATCTTAAAAGTCAGCAGGCTGGTGACTTGAATATCACCTCCTCACTTGGTCAAATAATAACAATAAGAACAACTAATATTTTAACACGTGCCAGGTATTTACATACATGGTGTCCCTAATTGTCCTATCAACTCAATGAGAGGAATTATTATAAATATTTCTGTTTTACAAATGAAGAAACTGAGGCTCAAGAAAGCTAAGAAGCTGCATAGTTTTAGGGTGAAAGCTAGGACTTGGAAACATCTCACCTACTACAGAGGAGTATCATGAATAAATTAGACTAAAATAATGGGTCAAATTATTGCAATATGATCCACTACTACAGGCCTTTGATAGGAGAAATCTCAAATATCTTTTGAAATTATTTGAGACCAAAGAAGAAAAAAAAAGAAAGAAAATAAGAAAAAATTTATTTCTCTCTTTTAAGATGATTGCATATATCCATAATGGTTTAATGACAGAATAATAAAAATAATTTACAGGGTGTCATAATCTAAAATACTGTAAGGATGGCTATAAAACATGTTATATAATGTGCTAATTCTGTGTGTGTGTAGTTTATTTTAGTTGTGGGTGGACACAATACCTTTTTATTTTATTTTTGTGGTGCTGAGGATGGAACCCAAGGCCTCACACATGCAAGACGAGTGTTCTACCGCTGAGCCCCAGCCCCAGCCCCACTAATTCTGTTTTTAAATGTTTAATTTGTAGATAGTTGTCTTCTATCCAAACCCACAAAACCCCACGACACTTGAAGAATTGAGGTATCTTTAAAAAAAAAAAAAAGAATGTGTGTGTGTGTGTGTGTGTGTGTGTGTGTGTGTGTGTTTCCCTCCTTGGCCTAGGGAGTCTAGTTGACTTTGAATAGTGTGGCACTGTTTGAAAGTTATAAAAGGAATAGAGGGAAAAGGAATTAATATTTGCCTTCTGAAATTTAAAATAGGAGCAAAATAGACTTGAAATCTAGTCTTGATCGCCATTATCTAAATTTCTTTATTCTGCCCTTGTCTTGTCATCAACCAAATCTAGATGTTGCTCAGTTTTTTTTAATATGTATTTTTTTAGTTGTAGATGGACACAATACCTTTAAAAATAAAGGTATTTATTATTTTTATGTGGTGCTGAGGATCTAACCCAGTGCCTCACATGTGCCAGAGGAGTACTCTACCACTGAGCTCCAACCCCATCCCCCCCTCACAGTTTTTTGTATAGTAAAGCTACATCTTCATGCAAAATTTTCCAAAGGGTATCCAAAGAGTACAGACAGTCTTATGGGAACTAATTTCAAGATCCTCAGTGTCCACAAGCATGCCTTCTGGAACTGCTTTTCCTGAGAACTGGTATGATCAGGACACCACGCTGCCCTCAGTCTCCACTCAGTAGTTTTTCTTCCATTTTGCCATAGAATGTCAAACCTCTCACCACTGTTACCTCAAGCCCCACAATGGTGCATTCTTTGAACTTGCAAACCTCTTGAAGACCCAACAAAAGAACAACTGGGAATATTGGGGATGGTTTTGAGAAAGTAAATGGCTCCAATAATTGGGTAACAAATCCTTTTAGAAGTAAGGAAATTTCCAGTTGCTTTAAACAAAATTGAAAACAAACTTCTATTCAACTTTCCACTGAGAAATTCATTAAAATGGTTTTCTTTTTGAAAAGCTCTTTTTTTTCTTAACAGAAGAATGTCAGCTAATAAATGCAGTTTTATAATCAGAACACCATTTTTATAGCCTCCTATAAAATAACTGATTCAGGTAAAGATCATGATGGGTAATCAAATCATTAGTGAAAAGTAACTGCCTGAAGAAATGAGAAATATTTTTTAATATTTATTTTTTAGTTATRGATGGACACAATGTGTTTATTTTACTTAATGTGTTGCTGAAGATTGAACCCAGTGTCTCACGCATGCTAGGCGAGTGCTCTACCTTGGAGCCACAACCCCAGCCCAAGAAATGATAAATATTTATGGAGACGCAAATGCTAATTATCCTGATGTGATTATTGCACATAGTATACATATATTAAATTATAATACTCTTCCCCACTAATATGTATAATTATTATATATCAAAAAGTTATTGGGGAGCAGGTTGTTTACAAATTATTTAGAAAGTACAAAGGGAAATGTATTGTTTTCCATGGAAAGATTGTTGGGTGGGGGGTTACCATCTTAAACAAGTGACCAAATTTCACATCACTAATAATGGAATAATGTAAACTGAAGCCTGATGTGAAAGGATGTGATCTATTCAACATTACTGATGAAGTACTCTTTTAAAAATGTTTACCCTGAATCTGATCAAATACTGATACATAATATCTTATATATTTTTTTTAAAGGCAAGGAGTAGACAGACAAGTTAAAAGACACCACAAGGAAATAATTAGTCAAATTGAGAATATAGAATATATAAGAGAGCTAGCCTAGAATCATCTAAAAGCCAACATCATGAATAAGATTGCTTACCACAATGAGTTACCTCCATGCTGAGAGGAGTGTTTGAGGCAAAGGATCTCTTCCTTTCTCTCCTTTTGGGACCACTGTCCAACTCCCTCATACTTCATCCCTGAATTTTTTATGGTCATTTGGGCCAATGGCAAGTTCCACAACAGCATGATCAAAAAGAGATAGGGTAGTCAATTATCCCAAGCCTTCCCTGTTCCTTTGAAACATGGATGCTGA